AATCGGTTAGTAATACAAAATTAATATCCTTTATTTAACAAATGAATGAGCATTCGATAGGTATAATTTCCTAATTTAAATTTCATTTGATCACATCCTTCTTATAAGCTTTTGGCAATCTCGAGTTCACAAGCTTTTAACCAATCCAATCATCCCATCCCTATCTAAAATACACCACACAATAATATAGAATCATACCACCATCCAAAAGCCATAAATCCCCACCACTGTTCCCTTTCAGAGAGGCACATTCATGGAAATAACAGAAGTTCGCAAATCCCTCCGTATGGTAAACTGCATTACTCAATGTTCTGTCAAGCAACTGTCTTGCCAAACCACCAAAGAGTTTCTGGCAAGTTGGAATTGAAAATTCATAATGAAAGAAATCAAGTAGACATAAATGAGCATATCTGTGGGAAAACAATGACATGAAGGTGGCAAGCTTGCCAAGGTAGCTCGGGCCCTTTAAATTTCATATTACTACTGTTTTGATAGCTTTATTTTATGGCATCGTAAGTTAATTAAAACATTTTCAAAACATTTATAGAAAACATGTGAAAGTGATGAGAACACGAAGATGGTGACATCAAATTAATGCTTGGGAAGATGCTTCTATTAAATGTAATTGAATTAAAGTTTTAGGCATGAATAAGTTTTTGTTTAATTTCATTTTATTTTAATTAATAAATCAATATTACTTTATATAAACATCTATCAATTTATATTGTCAACATGAAACATTAATTCTTCTTTAAATTATTTTTTTATAATTTAAATTTAAGCCCATGGCATGTGCATGCTAGTTGCATTTAGTCATCCATATGCTGCGAACATCAGCAAAAAAAAATTAAGGAATTGTTGATAGTACATAAGAAACAAACAAATAATCTGTGATAACAAAATTAATACTTCGAAAAATCTAACTTGCTATAAAATCACTACGCACAATTTGTCAATTTCAGAAGCTTTGTGCATGAAATTATGAAAAAAAATACATATAGATTCAAGTTTTTTTTTCAAAATTTCATCAGATATTGGATCCATGCCCACATCTCTATTAAACAGGTTTCAGATGATTTTATTATAAGAAAATGGGCAGTTCCACAAGTTAGCATTAAAAAAAAAAGCTACAGAACAAGCAATATTTGATCGATATAAAATCTCTAAGGCCAATTATCATTTGCATGTGTAGTAAATTAGAAAGATGAGCTACTACAAGCAAAGTGGACAAGGGCCATATGTCCTTGCACCAAAAAGGGAACAACACAAATACAAGAGAAGCAATTAGTCATCATTGTTAGCGCTGGAGTCCGATCCTTTTTCCCGCTCCCGCCTCCCGATCTCCCACTCCCGCTTCCCGCTTCCCGCTCCCGTTTTCGCGAATCGGCGTCACCCTTTGTCGCGATACTTGTTCCTGCTCGCTCCAGCTCCTCACATTTCGCGAATCGGTGCCAGCGATTCTCTGCCGCGAAGCGAAGCTTCGCTTCATCCCGTTCAACCGCTCCCGCGCCTTGTTTCGCGATAAAAAGACTTCGGACGGCTCTCCTTGAAGTTTAGAGGTCACGACACACTGCCTTTTGTTCTTCTTCGAACTTCCACGGGACAGTGGAAGGGCTTCCTTGAGACAGAGGAAGGAAAGTGCGAGCAGTAGTACAAGAGAAGCAATAAGTCATTATTGCTAGTACTGGAGTTCGATCCTTTTTCCCGCTCTCGCCTCCTGATCTCCCGCTCCCGCTTCTCGCTCCCGTTTTAGCGAATCGGCGTCACCCTCTGTCGCGATACTTGTTCCCGCTCGCTCTTGCTCCTCACGTTTCGCGAAACAGTGCCAACGATTCTCTGTCGCGACGCAAAGCTTCGCTTTGTCCCATTCAATCGCTCCCGCGCCCGGTGTCGCGATACAAAGACTTCGGACGGCTCTCCTTGAAGTTTAGAAGTCACGACACACTGCCTTTTGTTCTTTTTCGAACTTACACGGGACAATGGAAGGGCTCCCTCGGGACAGAGGAAGGAAAGTGCGAGCAGTAGTTTCTTGCAGTGAAGGAAGAAAAAAAAAAGAAGAATATTGTTCTTCATTGGTTTCTTCTAGTGGTTTGTGGCAAAAGAGAAATTAGGTTTATTTCTCTTGTAAGTTTATCTTCTTCGATGTATCTCAGTGTAGAGTTTTTTCGGTGTATATCAGTGTAGAGAGAGAATAACAGAGAGAGAATAAGAGAGAACAATGAAGTGAGAGAGAGAGATTCTTCTTGTAAGTCGAGGTGATCGACTGGTGCAAATTCTTCAAGTAGTAAAATCCTCTGCAACTCCATGGACGTAGGCAATTGGCCAAACCACGTAAATCTGTGTGTGTTTTTTTTTTGTGATTTTTCTCGTTCTATTTTTTCGCTTCGTTGATCGTTCTTCCGTTTGATTTATATATATATATATATCATAACAACTGATGTATTGTCTATGTTGTTACGAGATATAATATACACCAGTTGTTATGATATATATTGTGTGGTGATGAAGTGAAGGTTTGTTCGGATATGAGGAAGAATGATGGCTGCATATGAAGTGAAGGTTTCAGGGATCGAAAAATTTGATGGCACGGATTTTGGTTATTGGAGGATACAGATAGAGGCCTACATCTATGGGAAGAAACTTAATCTTCCGTTATTAGGAAAAAGACCTGAAAGGGTGGATGAAGCTGAATGAAATTTGTTGGATCGACAAGTTATGGGGATTATTCGGTTGAGATCCTATCGAGGTCCGTTGCACACAACGTCGTGAAGGAGATGACGATTGCAGATCTCATGGGAGCCACATCAGATATGTATGAAAAACCATAGGCGAATAACAAGGTGTACTTGATGAAAATTTATTCAACTTGAAGATGGTGGAAGATGTTTTGTTGTTCAACACATGAATGATTTCAATACTATCACAAATCAATTGTCGTCTGTTGAAATTGATTTTAATGATGAGATACGTGCACTGATATTGTTGGTATCGTTGTCAAATAGTTGGGAAGCCATGAGGATGACAGTTAACAGTTCTGCGGGTAAATCTAAATTGAAATATGATGATATTTGTGATTTGATTTTGGCTGAGGTGTGCAGAAAAGATTCTGACGAAATCTCAGATACAAGATCGACACTGAATGTTCATTTTAGAGGGAGATGGCATGAGAGGAACTCAAATAAATGGAGATCAAAATAAAAGTCTGGTAAGCAGACAACCTACTGGAATTGTGGCAAGCCTAGTCACATAAGGAGGAACGGCGGGAATACCAAGAAGATAGAGAATGATAGCGCAAATATGATATCTGAAGAAGTACATGATGTACTATTGTTGTCAGTTCATAATTCTGTTGATGATGGAAATGAAGAGGAAAGTGAGTCTGAGGCACCCATTCCTATTGTTCCACAGACAAATGATGGAGAACTACAGAGCTATGAAGAAATCTTGCAAGATGAAAGTTCGAACAAGTGGGAGCTGGTAAAAGTTCCACCATGGAAGAAGACATTACACAACAAGTGGGTGTATCAGGTGAAGACTGAATTTGATGGCAGTAAGAAGTACAAGGCTAGACTTGTTGAAAAAAACTTTGAGCAGAGACAGGATATTGCCCATGCAGTGGGAGTTGAAGGATTTAAGTTGGAGGATTCATGGTGGAGAATTCATGTTTGAAGAAGGACGACAGTGCCAGTGGAGGATTCAGTTTGAGGAGGAAGACGTTGAAGCATGTGTATCGGTCCCCAAATGGGAGATTGTTAGCGTTAGAGTCCGATCTTTTTCCTGCTCCCACTCCCGTTTTCGCGAATCGGAGCCAGCGATTCTCTGCCGCAAAGCGAAGCTTCACTTCGTCTCGTTCAACAGCTCCCGCGCTCGGTTTCGCAATAAAAAGACTTCGGATGGCTCTCCTTGAAGTTTAGAAGTCACGACACACTGTCTTTTGTTCTTCTTCGAACTTCCACGAGACAGTGAAAGGGCTTCCTCGGGACAGAGGAAGGAAAGTGCAAGCAGTAGTTCCTTGCGGTGAAGGAAGAAGAAAGAAGAAAAAAAAGATTTTTCTCCCTTGGCTTCTTCTGATGGCTTGTGGTATAAGAGAAATTGGATTTATTTCTCTTGTAAGTTTATCTTCTAAGTTTATCTTCTTTGGTGATAGAGTTTCTTCGATGTATCTCGGTGTAGAGAGAGAAGAACAGAGAGAGAAGAAGAGAGAGCAACGAAGTGAGAGTGAGAGATTCCTCTTGTAAGTCGAGGCAATCGACTAGTGTAAATTCCTCAAGTAGTAAAATCCTCTGCAACTCCGTGAACGTAGGCAATTTGTCGGACCACGTAAATCTGTGTGTTTTTTTAGTATGATTTTTTTCGTTGTATTTTTTTGCTTTGTTGATCGTTCTCCTGTTTGATTTATATGTATACCAACTGGTGTATATCTTATCTCACAACAATCATTGTCATGAATGTCTTCTTCTCCACTAAAACCGATCTATTTTCTTGATTCTTCCTCTTCTTTATATATATATATATATATATATAAAGATTGCTATATCATGACAGCCTTTAATGATTGTGATCTACA